ATTCATTTGTATGGCAATTATCGAGCTGTTAAATCGCTGCAATTTGCCACACTGAATCGCGCATTGCTTGGAATTGTTACACGGTAAGTGAATTGTTTCGTCAGAAAATGTATCGTTTGGATGATTGATGTGCCCTGGAAGAGCCGATTGAATCATCCTGATAAACGAGAGATCTAGTTTTTCTTGAGGATTTTACTTCACGATCCGATCGGTAATTAGTAAATTCATCTACCCCGATGATTTAGGAATTAAAAGATTAGTTAGTAAGTTGCTACTTTCATTTCTGGGCAGTTTCTAGCCGTCGATTTCGTCATTTGTGTTGCCTCCTCATATTTCTAAAGGATTATGCAGATATCCATCGCAATGCGCCTGAAATCCCTGTAATATCAGTGGAGTCGTTTGCCTTTAGCCGTTTGGTTTCTAATTGTGCCCAGCAGTAACCAGTTATTGCTACTCATTCTTGCGATTTTTCATCTTTTTTAGGAATTTTGTCGAAACAGGCGAAATCGCCGGTGTTTTTGAAGCGAACAATCAAGAACCACTGTTGCTGCGCTGGAACACTCCAGCCCGATATTATGGATGCCGTTTATCGGAAACACTTGCCTCAGTAAAAGGAGGCCTCTCATTCGATTGCCCAAAATTCTTTATCGTATATGACGTGAAAACGAATTTTGGCTCTGTGGCAATGTTCACAGGGTCCAATATGGCCGATCAACTTCGCGCAGCGGTCTGTTTGGAGCTGGTCCTTTGTCGAGGAATGTAAGTTTTAAAGGTTTTCTTTTAGCAGTTGTTTTTTTATGAGCCAAAAACTGGACGACTGATTTTTTCTAAATTTGCCAGTTTTGCTGAATGTTTGCTTCAAAAAATAAATTTATTTGTTTATGTATGTAAACTGTTTGAAGAGGAATATTATAGAAACCCTGACTGCAACTCACCAGGCTTGCCCATGCGATCATGCGTTTTTGCACTAAACTCACATGTCGCTAATAGCAAGAATGATCCCTGTGCTGTAGTCTAACACTGGGGCGCATCTTGGCCGTGCCAAAATTTCAGCCTCCCAGCTTTTCTAGTTGCTGAGATGAAAGTAGGTGACAAAATGTACTCGCTTTTGAACATACACACAGACAATCTCTCGACAATATGCGTTTTTGCTGGCTGTAGCAGCTCTATAAAAACATAAAAAACCACAAGAAATGCTTTTTTTGCCTTTTACTTCAGGATCCCAACACCAACTGAATTGGACGAAGTTATGGAGGGTCTGGAAAGTGCGGGTTGGTCAGTGAATAAACATCGGCTGGTATTCGATCATTGGACTTATTCAGAAAAATGACCAACATATCCATAAAATACGGCTTGGATCACATTGCGATCACGAAGCTGGATTGCGCAATATCTTAGCTTATCGGTTTTTCAATTGAAGCCGAGAATTACCGCGAAACATGTTCGTGTTCCTTCAAATTAGGAAACGTATGAAAATTTTTAACTTAATTTTCATTCCAGCGATTGCCCAACTGTTGTGGTTTTATTCGAATCTGCTTTTTTTCCTTTTTTTTTTTGGTAAATAACAACACCGCAGCTTTCTATGCCAAGTTAGAGTCTGTTCACCTTGAACTTATATACTGTTTTACTTTTGTATTAAAAAAACATCTGTTCATATTTCACAGTGTTTATTTTGGTGAGTGGTTTTGTTAATTATGTCGCCAATTAGCAAATTACTTTCCCCGACCACTGAGTGTGAACATCAACCATGAATTTGGTGCCCACATACCGTCTGAGCTAATTTTTCTACTGTTAGATTCAGCTGTTAGCTACCCAGGGACTCTGATTTGCAGGCCTTAACTTTTTGTCTGTACGATTTAAGCCATACTATTTTGAAACCCTACTACTTATTTTAATGCTATATACAGTTAACTATTTCGTTTACTTCGCTTAGAATCAACATTGGTTGGTTTGTAAATACATACATTAACCTCTTAGCTCAACTCCTTGAAATCTTTCGCGAGGCGCAGGAGCAAATTAGGATTTTGGGGTGGAGGGCCAGCATATAGACGAAAATATCCTCGTAAAATTTCACTATGTTTTCTGGTTATATTTGAGTTGGCACGGTGTTGGCGGTGAACTTTGACATCCTCGTATGCGTGTTGTGAGTGAGCGTGAAAGTGAAGTTTGAAATTTTTAGCTCGAACATGCACAGGGAATATGCCTAGACTTTAGTTTTTTAACCCGTCCGATTATGGAAATCATTTCTCGCCAGAAAATTTTCATATTTTCTTCCAAGCATCTTTACCAAGCGCAAACATTGATTTTCAAAAAAATCTGATTTGAACGTTGATTCTAAAGGCAGTAAGTGAAGAGGAAGGACTGTGAACGCGGAAGCAATCGATTCGGAGCATAGGAGAAGCAGGAAAACGAACAGTGAAGTGATGTAGCTGCACCGAGCAACCAACTGAATGTATTAAGAAAGGGAAGCGAGCAGCAGGACGATGCAGTTGTGTCGAACCAGAATTATCGAGAAGAGAGGAAGGTAGTGAAACGATGGAATTGCGTCGAGAATCAAGCCTGGTTTATCAAGAGATCGAGGGAAGTGAACAGTGATGTGATACAGTTGTGTCGAAAAACAAACTCAGTTTGTCGATAAAATCAGGCGGAGGAGCGAACAGTGAAGCGGCACAGAGACTCTGAGGTACTAGTTTGGAATACGTAAGAAAATAAAGAATAGCGAATTTGTTGCATCGTGACCCCCTCCTAGGTAGGTCGTGCACTGGCGCGAAAGCGGCCTATATAAGACCGCCGTATCTGTATTGGAGGTGGTATTTTATCTAGCGTGGTGTGTCGACCGGTGTCAATCCCGTCTAGTATCATCGATCGTTCCCCTGTAGTGTGCCGACCATCACTAATAAGGACGAGCACCCCGTTGCTACTCCAAGTAATTGCCAAGGAACCGACGACCCCACTTGCAGGGCCGCAGTACCCAGCCAGTCGACCGGAGCGCTCGGACCGATGAACCCAACAAGTGAGGGCTGAGTCGGTGGTCTGCCCTATTGGCGGATCGGCCGGATCTCTGCAAGAGGGACAAAAAGCAGCCCGGCTGCGAGGTGAAAGGGTGCAGCGTGGGGCCGCCAGCTCAGTGGACGAGGAGAGCGCGAGGTGAGTGGTAGGAGAGGAGTGCGGCAAGGGGAGCCGCAGGTAACGGGAGACGCTGAAAGGAGAGCGGCAAAGGGGACCGCAGGTACAGCGGTACGTAAGAGTCACTGAATAACAATAACATTGTTATCAGGGTAATGGAAAAGGACGCGCCGATTTTGGACGGTGAGGAAATGTTCGGTCTAGGAGAGGAACAGTTGCATCCGGAGGATATCGAGTTAGGGGAATTGATAAGAAATTGCGTTAATCATGGGTGCTGTAAACTCCACGATCTGGTGAAAACTTTGATAACGGAGCTAAAAGCAAAGGTAGCATATGAACTAAAGTGAAGTAAGCAAATGGCCAGGAAGCTGAAGGAATAATAGGGCTTCAAAGAGAGTGGAAGGAGATAATTAGCAAAGTAACAGAAAAGGCGGTTAAGTGTGCTGAGGAAAGTAAAGCTTGGGGCGAAATAGCCCGTAGTTTTGGAGTGAGCATGTCGTGTAAATTGGCGGAGGTGCTAGTGGCTGCAAAGCAGGATGCTGAGTTAGTAGTGGCGGAGGAATGCACTTCAATCAGAGGTGTAATTA